TGATGAGCAAGATGAGAATCTGAACTCGGAGCCTGAGCACTGCCACACAAAGGCAGCCAACCCCAGCACTGGAGGGGCAGACACAGGAAGCTCTCCGGGCCAGCTGGTCTAGCCAATCATGAAGCTCCAGGTTCAGCGAGAGACCATGTCTCCAAATATAAGGTGGAGGATGGTAAGACAGCTGAGCGTGTAAAGGTACCTACCATATAAACTTGACAACCTGAGTTTGATCCCTGTAACAGTGCAAACATCAAAGTTGTCCTCTGACTTCCACACATACACAGTGGCATATGCACACAAGCACACATACATGGTAATAATGAAAATGTTTAAATAAAAATGATTAGAGAAAGACCCATGTACCGTGGGGGGGGGGGAACACTAAATTTTAGATAGCCTTGGTCTGGACCCAGAGCCTAGCAGGCAGCCAAGGACCTAGCACCTTACTAAAGCCACCATGCACTGAGCACTTTGTACATGCTTCCATGTAGCCCTTAGAGCCTGTGAGTACTCCTATGGCGCACACATGTCCTAGTAGTTAGCATTAGTTACCTTTGCTGTGATGAAACACCAAGTCAAAGCAACTTGGGGAAGAAAGGTTTTCTTCAGCTTCCACTTCCAGGTAACCATCCATCGCTGAGGGAAGTCAGGGCAGGGATCTGGAAGCCGCAGCTGACAGGGAGGCCATTGAGGAATGCTACTTTTTTTTGTTTGTTTTGTTTTGTTTTTTTCGAGACAGGGTTTCTCTGTGTAGCCCTGGCTGTCCTGGAACTCCCTCTGTAGACCAGGCTGGCCTCGAACTCAGAAATCCGCCTGCCTCTGCCTCCCAAGTGCTGGGATTAAAGGCATGCGCCACCACTGCCCGGCTGAGGAGTGCTACTTACTGGCTTGATCTCCACGCCTTCTTCAGCCTTCCTTCCTTCCTTCCTTTTCTTTCTTTTCTTCCTTCCTTTCTTTTCTTTCTTTTCTTTTTTAAATAGCACCCAGGATCACCAGCCTAGGGATAGTATCACCCACAAGGGGCTGGGCCCTCCCATATCATTCAGTGAGAAATGGTCTACAGCAGTGGTTCTCAATCTTCCTAATGCTGTGATCCTTCAATACAGTTCCTCATGTTGCGGTGGCCTCCGAAAATAAAATTATTTTGTTACTACTTCATAACTGTAATTTTCTACTGTTATGAATCCTAATATCTAATATGTAGTATATCTGATATGTGACCCCCAAAGGGGTCTCAACCCACACGCTGGGAACCATTGCTCATCAGGCTTGCCTATAGCCCAATCTTACGGAGCCATTTTCTCTAGTGGGGTTCCCTCCTCTCAAATGATTCTAGACTGTATCGTGCTGACATCAAATAAGCCAGCACAAGACACTTTATCCAACTTTAGGGAACAGTGTACCGAGGCTTAATGACTCTAAGTGACTTGCCTAGCAGTCACAGCTGGTTAGTGATAAAACCAGAACCAAGACCCTTTTCAAACCTTTTTAAAGCTTGGTGCTCACACTTAACCCTCCCTCCCGCTCCCACTCCACAGAGCCTCAAGTCTCAGCTCCTGATTAAGAATAAGGAGCAGAGCTAAGGAAACAACTGGACCTGTAAAGGTGCTTCCTGCACAAACCTGGAGACCCAAGTTTGAGCCGCAGGAGTCCACATAAAGGTGGGAGGGGAAAACTTCACAAATCTATCATCTGACCTCCACAAGCACACTAGCACTGGCAACCCACTCCCCCATACACACAGAAATACATTTTTAAAAACCAACAACCTTATAAGACACTACCAACAATGAACTAGGAACCTGGACACCGTACAGTCTAACACCAAATTCCACACACAGAAGTGATCTCACATCCATAGACCTAACCAAATGTATCTAAGGATGGACTTCCAAGCTCTGAATTCTGATTCTCCTGGTGTCTTAAATGTTACGTCTATTATTTATCTAATTCAATTACATTAAGACGTAAAAACGTATTAGAAAGCCTAAAGCTATCTTTGTCCCTTATTAATGCTGCCCTCTGAACAAGCGTTCCTCCTTCTAGCCTTACTCCTTTAGCTTTTGATCAACTACAGGCATCCCCATATTGGCCTCTTGCTGGTTATTAAACACCCCTTCACCCTATAGGCATGTGTGCCCTCTGAATTAGACTAATATCCACAAACTTAGAAATACTGCTGCAATATCTGCTGGATAAGTGGAAACTGAACCGAATAAGAAACACGTAGCAACTGTTCCCAAAGTACATGTTGAGTATGCAAAAAATACATTTAGTCTACTTTTGGGGGGTGAGGTTTCCCCACTTTAGCTGTGGCTGGCCTACAACTCACTACATCAACCATGCTGGCCTCAAACTTGGAAATCCTCCTGCCTCCACATCCCCAGTGCTGGGATAAGGCATGCAGCACTATGCATAGACCTTCCTGGCTTTAACGTCACATTTTAACAATTCAAAAACAATGGATTGTTTATAAATTTCCCAAAATTAATATTGTGTTGGGTTACCATAGACGTTTAATTCTTTCAACTTCCTTACATAACAAAGGACCCTGAAATGTCATAAAGCCATTCACTAGGCCTACTGCAGTCACTGGGGTAAAACAGGGGCCAGAGAAGACTATGAACTGAAGCCAGGAGAGCAATAAAATCAAGTCAGCCTTGGCTCATCCTGGGATATTGGATTCTGAATGATTTTTCAGGACATGACTCAAATGAAGATGTTTACAAAGGTGTTCCTAACACAACGGAGCAGGAAGGAAACAACCCAAGGCCTGAGGTATGCTGGCAAAGGCCGGTAATCCAACCATCAGGAGTTCAAGGCCAGCTTTCTCTACAAGAGTCTCCAAAAACAAACACACAAACCAACATCAAGTAGGAATGAAGTATGGAGCATGGCTAACAAAACGTCACCACCAGGATTTAAAAAGAAAATCGACCAGAACGTGACAGCAAGAACTTTGTAAACAAGGGCATGGAAAGAAATCTTATTTCAAAAGTCACTTCTACACAAAATGAAGCAAAAGCAGCAGAAGGAAAATAACCTCCTGCAGATATAAAGGTTACTCTGAGAGACAGAAGGGTGACTAGCTACAAATGCAAAGATAAAGCCAGGGACACTATCTGTCGTGTCACTACAGTGGAGAACCATGGTACAAGCATTCAACCAGACCTCCTTAGACACAAATTAGCCAGCCTTTAGAACAGTCTATGGACTTGGATAATCACAGTCCTGAACACATCTCCTTACAGAAACAGAAAATGTTCATCATTTTCTACCATGATTAATCCTTGAAAACTACTTGTGTTTAGAATTATCACAGCAATCTTATGCCCAGAAGAAACGGAAGGTGTCATGGCAACATTACATAGAACAAAATATCAGTCTGTGATAAGAAACCAGGATCTTGCCCTAACAGGAGACTAATATGAAAGGAATCGTGAAATGGATAACCAGATATAAAACAAACAGCCTTGTCATTAGATACTCAAAAACAGCATCACTGAATTATCTGAGTTAGGAGAGGTGAATGGGTTCTTAATGTTTCCTCTTTAATTATTTTTAAATGACACTCACTTGACAAATTATGAAGTGTTTCTTTTGGATATCCATAATATAAGAAGAATCCAATTTTTCACTACATGGAAGTGAGTCCAACAGTAAATGAAACAAAACTTCAGGGAGTCAGGGGAGCATGGACCATCCTTTAAAAAGCACCTAAGTGCTTTATCTGTGATTACAGCATTCGGCAGGCTGAGGTAGAAGGCTAGAAAGTTCCAAGGCCAGGTACACTACATAGTGAGACCCTGCCCCACAACAACAATGAAAAACAAAAAAACAAACAAACAAAAAAGCAAATGAATAGAGCAGGGAAGGAGGGTAGTGTTGAAAGTTACAGTCAACCGAACCACGGCAGAGCTTTCTCTGTACTGCTGCAAAATGAGTCCAGCTGTCAGGTATAAGCGGATAACTTCCATAAAATAATACTTCATGAAGTCATGAGGTTAAACCATCAGAAGGGGTGCTTTATGCTTCAATACTGTAGGGAAGCCACAGAAACCCTAAAAAGAGGTAAACCCAACAGGCCAGAAGCAGCACTTGGGTGGCCACAAATTAGTTCGCACTTCACCTTTGAGACTACAAATTAAAGTTTGCGCTGCACACAGTCAGAGAAATTAAGAAAGAACTAACCAAGCCAACAGCTGGAAGAAATTGCCTTGCTATGCCTCACAGTCTTTTTAGAAACCCAAAGTACTTTTCAAGGTAAAGTTCTCGGACGCAGCATTACATTTTAGAGCAGATGACCAACATTTAAATGGCCTGCCTGGGCATTTAGTTCTATGCCAAGCCCTTCGGAGGCTGGGGATCATGTCCACTCCAAGAAGGAAAGCAACTCACTCACGTGAGGAACGGAATCCTCAAACAGCTCGGATCCCCAGTGACGCACTCCCAGCTTGGAAAATGGCCCAGGGTACACCTCGCTAACAGCAGCTAGGTGGGGAGATGCACGCGTGCACTATTGTTTCCAGATGTTTATTTATTTTTAACTTCTGTTTGATGCCCGTTCCCCTAAACTGGGCCCGGTGGGAAGGGGGACCTCTGACAGCGCTACTGGTGGCTCTGGGAGCAAGCGAGTTTCGATAATAAAAACACCCCTTTATCCTTTTATCGCAGCGTCCGTGTACCCGCGCCTCTCTCCCGCACACCTCGGCCGTCACCGGCACGCAGCGCCAGTGCCAGGTCCCCATGACAACCCCGGCCCCGGGCGCCCCGGCCTCCCGGCCCCCGCCCCGCGGCCCGCCGCGCCGGCGGGACTAGTGGCGGCCACACCTGCCCCGCTCCGCTCCGGACCCGGCTCCTGGTCGGGCCAGTCCGCGGCCGGGTGCGAGCCTCCAGGCTGGTGGCGCGGCCGGTGACGCTGCGACCCGAGACCTTCCCGGCAGGGCCTCCGCGGCCACCGCGACGCCCAACGCGGGCCAGGGCCGCGGCCCGGCGCTCACCTTGAACGGGTTGTTGAGATCCGGATCCGCAAACGGGTTGCTGTCAAAATCCGACATTGCCCCGGCACTGCGCGTCACCCACCCGAGCCCGGCGCCGAGACACAGACGAGGCGAGGCCGCCGCCCCCCTGCGCGCTCACGTCGCCGCCGCCGCCGCACAGATCCGGGTGCAGCTCGCGGGCCACCGAGCCGGCCGTGCCACTGAGCATGCCCGGTGCGGCGGAGGCCCGCGGCGCCCAGCCATCCGGCAGTCCCTTCCCGCCTGGATCTGCGCTCCGGGCTCTGCCTCCGACCGAAGGGCGAGCGCAGGCGGAGGGCAGGTTACGAGCCCCGGGCGGTGGACCCACCTAGCGCGGCTGAGGGGTGGTGGCCTGTGTAGGGGACACGACGGTGTGTGCAGGTCCCACGTGGCAGGTGGAGGAGATGACACTTGGAGAGCGAGTAGCTGAGGTGGGAAAACATCCTCCGCAGCTGCCAGAGATTCCCGACCCCAGAGCGGGAAGGAACCCTAAATGAAATTTAAAACACCCTTGCCACACACACCCCGACCTGGGAAACCCGGCAGGTCCCCTCCGATCCCAGGTTACTGCTAAGTCACGGAAAGTGGCTTCACGCTGAGGATCCGGAATTGCTCCAAGAAAAGGCAACATTCAGTGCTGGGCCCAGCCCCCTGTCTTCCATCCTCCCTCCCCACTCATAAATGATGGGGGGCGTGGGGCAGCGGAGTAGGTGGCACAGTCTATCGACCCAGGCCCTCAAGTTAATGATAGTGGAAATTGTTGACTTTTATTTTCAGGCATTTGGATGCAGAATACACACACCTCCTGACTTTTTTCTTCCCAGTGCCGGGAATGACTACCAAAAACTGTATAGTAAATGACATATCAGTGATTGCGCCACCCGGAACTTGTTGAGAGGACACAGCTTTCCCAATTCTATTCTTCCTTCCACTTTTAACAGAAGGGCACTTGGATGAACCTATGACAACCCAGAATTATTATTATTTGTCAGGGGCCTAAGAACTGGAAAAACACAGATTTAATTATCCATAGCTTTTTTGAGGGCCTTGCATTAGGCAAAGTCACCTAGGCAGTAATAACTTTCCCCAATGTGAAAGCGCACACACCCACCCACGCGCAACTTGCTGAAGTCTGGTAGGATCCGGGTTGGGATGACAAAGCAGCTCCTTCTAGGCAGCCATCTAACAGCATCAACTAATTAGGAAGTAGGCAGCCAACAGTGAGCACCACAAGGTGGTAAGACTCTAAGCTTTGGGGAGAAAAGCAATCTGCTCTGCTCACACATCTTCAGCTGCTAGCTGCCCATACCTGGTTCTGACTCAGGGGTCAGCACCTGTTGACATCCAAGCTCAACTTAGATAGTTACTTTGTCCGGCTGTGCTAACCTCTCTGAGTGTTAGAGGCTGAAGAATAAATATGAAATGCCGTGTAAAACGTGCTCTGCATGTCTTCAGATCCAAGCAAATACTGGGTGAATGTGTACAAACAGTGAGGGTACCCTGCTCCTTGTTCTGTGATTTGTCTCCTCTCTCCTGAACCTGACCTTATTCCCATTGTTTGAGCCCTCGCTCCTTCCATGTGTCCCCCAGATGACTCAAATATTCACTGTCTACTACACTTACCTTCTGTATTCCAAGGCCATAAGGATCAGCTGAGCATGCCATGCAGGGCGGAAATTTCCAACTGTGCTCTCATTTTTTAGCTAAAGATGCACTCTGTACAAAAGCCTAAGACTTCACTGCTCCAGCCCCATGGAGTCCCTAGGCAGCCGCCCAGGCCTGTGCATCTCCTAGCCCCAAGAGTTTGCTTTAGGGTTCTGAAATAGGGGCCCTGCATCTGCATCTTTAAAATGTCTTTATATAAAGATGGTATTGTATATGAATTCCTAAAACAGGTTCAAAACATAAATATGGGCTGTTATGATTTTGTTTCCTAGTACTGGGATAAAACTACCCTGGCAGTAAGCAATTCCAACAGAAAGGAGGTCTAGTCGGCTCATGTTTCAAGTTGTCTATTATTTCAGTATGTCAAGACAAGAACTTGGAGCAGCTAAGAACTCAAATGTAAGGAAGGATGGTGCCCACTAGGGGCTGGCTCTGCCTATATCAGTTAGCAAGCCAATCCTGTACAGCATACCCAGAGACCAAACTAGTCTAGGCAGTCCCTCATGAAGCCTCTCCTTCTAAATGGTTCTATGTGTGTCAGACTGACAACCAGAACTATCACATGGACTGGGTTTGATTCTGTTTGTTGGTGGTGGTGATGGTGGTTTTGTCTTCTCTTACCAACTTTGTAAAGTATTCTCCCGTTATTATGTATGCTCTAATACCATATGTCACTCAGTCCTGCAAACATACTTGTGCTCATGCCGTCCTGACACTGTGGAAACAGGGCATGATCCATATTTGTCTCCAGTCTGTTTTCCTCACTGGTACCTGTGCAAAGTTTCTAAGCATTAGCATTTTGTCTAGGCTCCACCCCACAGTTACCTGGCAACAGCCTGGTGTGCCTGACTCACTATAAAAGGGGCTGCTTGCCCCTCCTCTCTCTCTTGCCTTCTTGCTCTCACTCTGTCCTCTCCCTCCTGTTCTCCCTCTCTCCCCATTTCCCTCCCCTCCCCCTCTAAGTTCTCATGGCCAGCCTCTCTGCTCTACTTCTCTCTCTCTCTCTCTCTCTCTCTCTCTCTCTCTCTCTCTCTCTCTCAACTCCCCTCCCCTCCCCATGCCTTGAATAAACTCTATACTGTACTGTACTGTACTGTACTATACTATACTATTGTATGGCTGGTCCCTCAGGGGGAAGGGATGCCTCAGCATGGGCCCTTGGAGGCACCCCCTCCCTCCACATCTGACTGCACTCCACCAAACACATTCCTTCTCTCTTTATTTTTATAAAACACAACACTAAGTAAGCTATGTATTTGTCAAGGAGACAGCCTAAGGTTTCTTCACAGTTGCACAGAAATATTGCCATTTTTTATTTGAACATTGATGATAGAGGAGGGGAGGGGGCTTGGAAGCATAGCCTAATGGAAATCCCTCCGAATTAACTATGTTTCTCGAGCATTATTTTAAAAACTGCAAGACTTATCATATTTCTAGCTTCCCCTACCCAGGTGATTCTGACAGTGGTGGTGTCCTGAATACGCTTCAAGAGCACAGACGTTAGGCTAGTCAAATAGCGTGGTCAGTGAGGGGCCTCGTTCCTTCATTAGTTGTTCTGAAACCAGATGTATAGGACAAGGAAAGACCCTCACCCTTTCTCACAGCCACTGAAGAAGACAAACCAGGTCAGGTCCAGTCATTTAAGAATGTAATTTAGTTTGTAGTTTTAGTAGAGAAGGAAGGGAAGTGGGGACTGGGAAGCCGACTTCTTTTTCTAGGATCTGCCTCCTAAATTGGGCAGGCAAAACAAATGACTCAAAACTGGTTTCGGGTCTCAGCTATGTGTGACCTAGATCATAGCGGTTCACCTTTCTCATGTGAGTTTCCAAGGCTAATTCCTCACCAATTAACAATTAACAATTCTTTCTTTCTTTTGGGGAGGGGGTTGTGTGGGCTCCTGAGCCCTCTGCTTCCACCTGCAGAGTGCTAGGATCACTGGCTCTGCCTCCGGAGTGCTAGGATCACTCCCTTGCATCATTCACCCAGTTTAACTAGTATTTCCTGAACCCTACTGAGAGGCAAACAATGTTCTAGATGCTATGAATAACACAGTTTACCTGATAGAACAGTAGGGCCTGTGGGAGCCCTTTATCAGAAGATAAAGGTACTTGCCACACAAGTATGGCAACCTGAGTCCAGTCCCCACAACCCACATAAAGGTGGAAGAAGAGAACCAACTCCACAAAGCTGTTTTCTGACCTCCTTGCATAAGAGAGAGAAAAATAAAATAATAAAATAAAATCACTTCGCATACACACATGTACACACAATAAATAAAGAAATAAATGTGATGATCTTTGGTTTTTGTGGGTTTTTGTTTTGTTTTTTCGAGACAGGGTTTCTCAGTGTAGTTCTGGCTGTCCTGTAACTCACTCTGTAGACCAGGCTGGCCTCGAACTCAGAAATCGGTCTGTCTCTGTCTCCCAAGTGCTGGAATTAAAGGCATGCGCCACCACCGCCCGGCTGATCTTTGTTTTTTTTAAATTGGGCATTCCTGGACAAATGATGTGGGATTCGTTTTTCTTCCTTGGCCCCATTTGAGTTTTTTTTTTTTTCTCCTTGAGCTGAAAGGTTTGCCATTTAGACATTTCCTCAGATTCACAGTCTCCCCTTTCTTCTCTTTCCATACTTCTAGAGGATGTAATCCTCGATGCCCATTACTCTACCGAAGCATGAATACATGTATACATGTGGCAGTCAGAGGACAACTCGGGACTTGCTCCTCTTTTCCCATCATCTGGGTTCCGAGGATTAAATTCAGGTCGTCAGCCTTGGTGGCAGGCAAGTTTACCTGCTGAGCCATCTCACTAGCCCCTTACCTCCAACTCTTACTAGGTGTGTAGAACCGGAGAGGTATTGTTTTGAAAAGCATATATAAACCATCTCTGTTTGGCATTAGAATTAATGTTTATTTTATTTCTTGAAAAAGAAATTTAAAAATTGTTTTTATGAGTATTTGCATGCATCTCTGTGTGTGTGCACCATAACAAGTATTTGTGTTTGGAGCCCATGGTGGCTCCCCTACAACTGGAGTCAGAGATGTTTGTGAGCTGTCATGTCCTCTACACGAGCAGCAGGCGCTCTTAATAGTCGAGCCATCCTTCCAGTTCTTCTATTTGTTTTTCGGGATAAGGTCTCACTGCTTAGCCCTGGCTGCCCTGGAAATCACTATGTAGACCAGGCTGGCTTTAAACTCAAAGCTCTGTCTGCCTTCTGAGAGCTGGGGTTAAAGGTGTGGACACAATACCGGAACTTTTTTTTAAACAAACAAACAAACAAAAACAAAAAAACAAAACAAAACAGATCTACTTTTCCCTTTACACACAGACAAGCCAACCAATCGTCAGTGAGAATAGAATGTATCAAGTCTTAGGTCTGGCTCCTTCTCTGGACTTACTCTGTTCCAGGAAGAGTCATTTAACAATTCATTTCCCAAA